AAAGACTTGCAGCTGCAATTCTTTATTATGTGTGAGCTTATAAGGAAATTGGGCTCAAGGGCATTGAAGGATACAGAACTTTCCTTGGCATTCAGGGTCTGCCCTCTATCGGTGATATGTGCATAAATATACCTTTATCCCTCAGAATTCCGCACTAGATTGAAATAAATGTTATCAATTAGGCATAGTGTATGGGAGGTCAGATATGAATGAGGTAGAAAACCCTTTAAAAACTCAGATTGTAATTTTTCTCACTGTGGGATTTGCTGTTAATGCAGAAAGGATAGGGATAAAGTTAAAGAAAAATAGACAAATTACAAACATTTTTAAATTTCACCATTAGAAGAAGTAATTTAAAAATCTTGAATTAAATAAGGGATTGGACATCTTTATTGATACAGGAATAAAGTCCACTTCATTTTCTCCATGCATTGAATACACTATTTGGTTTTACATAAACGTGTCTTGATCCTTTTTGTAAACCAGTTACTCACTAATAGTAAACCCAGTGCTCTTGTTAATTATTAATGAGACTCTAAATATTCAGAGAGATAACTTTTTTAGTTCATTGCATAACACCACCAATGTAAGGGTTTTTAATTTACAATGAAATTATAACTTCATGAAACAAAGTTATAATATAACTTTACTAAAAAATTAACATTTAATGGAATTATTAAATAGTGAAAAATACTAAAATTATATACTCTTTTGCATTGTTTTTATTTTTTATGTAATCTTTTCTTTGGCATTAAAAAATTAACATGTGAGAAATCTTGGAGAAGAAAATACATTGTTATATGTTACTCTCTAGGGAGTAAAGCTACATGAGTGGGCTGTGGAATCTAATGGGGTTTACACATTGGCATTTTTGTAATTTAAAAACTGCATGCCGCGCACAGTGGCTCATGCCTGTAATCCCAGCACTTTGGGAGGCTGAGGCGGGCAGATCACTTGAGGTCGGGAGTTCGAGACCAGCCTGGCCTACATGGTGAAACCCCATCTCTACTAAAAATATAAAAATTAGCTGGGCATGGTGGTGCGTGCCTGTAGTCCCAGCTACTCAGGAGACTGAGGCAGGAGAACAGCTTGAACCTGGGAGGCAGAGGTTTTAGTGAGCCAAGATCACACCACTGCACTCCAGCCTGGGCAACAGAGTGAGACTCTGTCTCAAAATAAATAAATAAATACAGAAATAAAAAACCTTCTTTGTTTTTAAAACTGACTTCAAAATATATTACAAAGCTATAGTAATAACCAAAACAGCATGGTATTGGCATAAAAGTAGACACATCACCAATGGAACAGAATAGAGGACAAAGAAATAAATTCACACAGTTATAGCCAACTGATTTCCAATGAAGACATCACAAACACACATTGGGGAAAAGGCAGTCTTTTCAATAAATGGTGGTAGTCTCGACAATAAAGTTAGTGTCTTCAATAAAGGCAGTCTCTTCAATAAATGGTGCATGTGAATGTCCAATTTTTCTACCACCGTCTATTGAAGAGACCCCCATTTCTCAGCATATGCAAAAATCAGGTCAAAATGGATTAAATATAAATGTAGGCCAGGCATGGTGGCTCACCCTTATAATCCCAGCAGTTTGGCAGGCTTTGGTGGGAAGATTGCTTGAGGCCAGGAGTTCGAGACCAGCCTGAGTAACAGAGCAAGACCCCTTCTCTATGAAAAATTAAAAAAAATTAGCCAGGCATGGTGGCACATGCCTGTAGTTCCAGCTACTCGGGAGACTGAGTTGGGAGGATTGCTTGAGCCCTAGAGATTGAGGCTTCAGTGAACCGTGTTCATGCCATTGTACTCCAGCCTGGGCGATGAGACTCTATCTCAAAAAAAAAAAAAAAAAAAAAAAAAAATTAAAAGATTTAAATATAAGTACTGAAACTATGAAACTACTAGAAGCAAACCCTGGGGAAATGCTTTATAACATTGCTCTGGGCAAAGATTTTTTTGGATAACAGTTCAAACTTATAGGCAATAAAAGCAAAAATAAACAAATAGAAGTATACAAAACTGAAAAGCTGCACAGCAAAAGAAACAATAAATAACTGCATCTGACCAGTGGTTAATGTCTAAGAATATGTAAGAAACTCAGACAATTCAATACCAAGAAAACCAATAATATAATTTTAAAAAATGGGTGAAAGCAGGCATGGTGGCTCACGCCTGTAATTCCAGCACTTTGGGAAGCCGAGACCAGCCTGGCCAACATGGAGAAACCCCGTCTCTACTAAAAATACAAATGTTAGCCAGGCATGGTGGCAGGAGCCTGTAATCTCAGCTACTCAAGAGGCTGAAGCAGGAGAATCACTTGAACCCGGCAGGTGGAGGTTGCAGTGAGCGGAGATCGCACCACTGTACTACAGCCTGGGCAACAGAGTGAGACTATGTCTCAAAAAAAAAAATTGTTTAAAATGTTCACTCCAAGAAATTTATGTATATATATATATATACACACACACACACATACACGCACACACACACACACACACGCACGCACACACACACGAAATAATTGCAGTGCTAAACCAGGCACCTTCGACCAAATCACAACCTCCTCTTTGATTCCCCTTCACTCTAAGCCTCTTTCGAATTTTTTTTCCTGAGCTGGAAGACCGGTCAGATGCCCACGGGGTCAGTGCAAAGCACTTTCCCAGCCGGGCAACTGAGTACCTTTCTCTAGGAGTGCATGACATCCTTCCCCGCAACTCCTTGTTTTAAGGGATTTAACCCATTAGGAAATTCATTTTTCAGTCTAAGCCAAAAGGAGGTGTCAGACATGGCAGTCTTCACTTCGAAAGTCCGTTTCCTGCTCCAGTCCCTGGCAAGGGTTCTAGAAGAGCCTGGCTGTCGGGTTTATATGAGGCCACCAGAAGATCTAAGCCCAGCTCTGCCCAAGGCGGCTCCTGCAAAGGCTGGGACCTCGGGTGCTGCTTCCTCAACCCTCTCGGTGACCACGACTCAAAGGAGAGACCTCAAGGATGCGAGGAGCAACACATGCTTGGCCTGTGTTCCAGGAAAGAGACCTGTCCAGAGAAACAGATTGGGCAGTCGCATGGAAACTTGAGTCAGAGATGGTGGTTTGGGGGTGATTTGGACAAATTAGGTTAGTTTAACAAAGCTCTGAAGTGGCGGAAGAGCTCCCCTGGACTACTGATTGAACACAGAACAAGAGATAAGCATGGTGTCAGACTAGGTCTTAGGGAGATGCAGGCCAGTCTCCTCCGACAGGGCCTTTGGACTGCCAGGACAGACACTGCTACCTACCCTCCACCAGCAGGAGTCATGGTAAGGAGCGACTGGGGTGGAAACTTGGGAAAAAAGCAACAACTAGATCGTTTTTGGCATTTTAACATAGAGACAGTGATAAGTGGTAACAGCAGCAAAAGAAAAACAAACAAACAAACCTTGAAGAGACCAATATTTAACCCCCATCCACCCAAGTTTCCCACTTAAGTTCTATTCCCATCTCCCCCATTAGCACCACTGAACTAAATATCTATTTTAAAGCACCCAAACCAGTCTAGACCCTCTGGAAACCAAAAGCCCCAGCCAGAGCTGTCACCTGTCTTGGGTCCAGGTGAGAGGAGGGTTCCAGGAAAGGCACCTCGTTAGTCACCCAGCACAGCGCACAGGGCGGCAAGCTCAGGCATGAGCACTTGATGGGGACGCGGTTGGCAGTCACAGCATCCGTGCTGACACGCGACAAAGGGGACTCTTCGGTAATCCCGACTATTTGGTACCAGAGCCGAGACTAGAGGAAGCTGGGTCAACAGAAAGGTACCCTGAGTCTCAGCAACAGGATGGCCCGTGAGAGGCAGGATCCAGGCAGGAGAGAAAAGGGGACCAAAGCACGTCTTGCACAAGGCGGGTACGGAAAGGGCTGATCCTTCTTGCAAGGACCAGAGAATGCACTTGACTGCTGGCTGATCAATCTCTAACTGGTGAGTGTGCGTGACAAGGCTCGGCCCTGGCTCCACAGGGAGCCACGAAGCTGACTCAACTGATACAAATGTTTCCACCTCTGCCCCACCCCCAAGTCCCCATGGTTCCACCATCACCTGATTTTCATTTGGACTTCTTTTACAGCTAAAGTAGGTATAAATGCTAAACAGACACCCCCAACACCCCTACCAGGAGGGACACGGCACATTCTATAATGGCGCAGCCAGAAGGCTGTGGGCTATAGGCAGCAAGGGGGAGAAAGAGAACCGACACTGGCCTCAATCAGAACTGACACCGGCCTCTGCTGATGTGCAAGAAAAAGCGGGAAAGGAGTGTCACGGATGCTTCTGAAGCACGCGAGCGTGATTTTGGATGGAGGCCAGCCGGCGGGGACCAACTTTGCCTAGCTGGCTGCTGCCAGTTCCTGTAAGGGGCATTTTTTCTGAGTAAATGGCGATTCCTCTTCCATGTAGCATCCGCTTGGATCATGATGCTAATTATAACTGGAAAGGGGTGTTTTGGGGAGTGTATTTAGGATAGGAAGAAAGAAAAAACTTTAAAAAAACCTAGATTGCTCAAAGTTTCTGCCTCTTTTGTAGGAATAGTAAGTCAACTATGAGCAAATACTTTAATTCAACATTAAGAGGAAGAAGCATACTTTGGAAAGCATATAGGAAAAAAGGTAGTTAATGTTGGATGGCTTGTAAAACGGAACCTCAGGGAGCCTAAACAAAAATGCATCTTTGGTCAAATTCTGCTTTTTTTTGAGATGGAGTTTCTCTCTTGTCACCCAGGCTGGAGTGCAGTGGCGTGATCTCAGATCAATGCAACCTCTGCCTCCTGGGTTCAAGTGATTCTCTTGCCTCAGCCTCCCGAGTAGGTGGGATTACAGGTGCAAGGCACCATACCAGGCTAATTTTTTGTGTTTTTAGTAGAGACAGGGTTTCATTACATTGGCCAGGCTGGTCTTGAACTCCTGACCTCAGGTGATCTGCCTGCCTCAGCCTCCCAAAGTGCTGGGATTATAGGCCTGAGCCACTGCACCCAGCAACTTTTGCTTTTTAAAATTCCTATTTGACTTCACTTCCCAGTGCTCATGGAAATGACATCTGCTGCGAGAAGTGTGGAGTTGGAGGAGTCTCTGGGAGCATCAGAGGGTTGGAGAGTTTCATTCTGGCAGTTTCTTGATCTTCTCTTTCTCGGTCTCACGTTTGTCTCTTGCTATCACCAAGAAGTGTGAGTAGCGCTTGGCGACCTGCTCTGAGAAAATGCTATCCAGAGTCTTCACCTCCTGGGCTGCAGTGGAAGACTTGGGCTTGTGGTCCCCGTAGCCCTGTTCCTCGAAGGTCGGCAACAGGCCCCAGCTGATGGTACTCTCATTGGCGGCCACAGTGATGCTGCTCTTCCCACAAGCCAGGCTCTGGGTTCTCCAGCCACAGAGGTCCTGCACTGCTTTTGGGTACACGGTAGATTCATGGGAGGTGTTGGTGGCCCCCCAGAGAAACAGACCACCCGTTTCACTGATGGCAAAGGAGCAGGTGTAACCAGCATAGATCTGGGATGCCCCACATCCAGAAAAGTCAAACAGCTTCACCAGGCAGGGGACCATCTCATCCTTCTTCTTTGCATGGCCCAACCTGCCATAGCCACTGGAGCCCCAGAAGAAGACTTGCTTCTGGGAGTCCAGAACCAGTGTGTCATTAGCGCCACGGGCCACGTCTTGCACAACCACGTTTGGTACAGGCAGCATCTGTTCATTTTTGGTCTTCTCGATGAAGATGGCCACTTGCCGGGGCACCAGTTTGCAGTCGTATTCTATCTGCTGTGGCCAGGCAATGAACTTCCCATCTGAGTTGTGTCTCAGCTGACCATATTCAGGGCACCCAAAGGAACAGAGGTTTCCTTTGCAGTCTATTATCGTACTGAATCCAGCCCCACAGGCCATTTTGGTAATTGGCTGGCCATTGTACATTATCTGCGCGGGGCTGTGGACAGGGTCTGTCTGGTTGCCAAGGACCAGCTGCCCCATCTTGTTCTCCCCAAACGCAAACACAGAGCCAGTTTCTGTCAAGGCCAAGGTGTGGTTCTGCCCACATGCTGCAGACACGATCACTTCGTGGCTGAGACCCTCAAAGAGTCTGGGGGCTTTCACTCTCTTGGTGTCGCCATGTGCCAGCTGCCCCTTCTTTGAGGAATTTTTAAAAGCTGATCTCATAGAAATATAGTAGAATAGTGGTTACCAGAGGGTCACGGTGGGGTCGGGTAGATAGGGAGGATGGGGAAATGAGGAGAGGTTAGTGAACAGGTATAGGATTGCGGCTAGTTTGAAGAAATAAGGTGTGGTGTCCTATTTTTGACTATATTTGACAATAGTGAATATTTCAAAATAATGAGAAGTTTTGAATGTTCTTATGACAAAGAAATGATAAGTGTTTGAAGCGAAGGTAAGCCAGTTACCCTGATTTGATCATTTCACAATGCATACCTGTATTTAAAGATGACACTGTGTCCCATAAGTATGCAAAATTATGGGTCAAAAATAAAATAAAATGTAAGAAATCTCTGTCTTTGGAAATTACCATTTTTCTTTTTTTTTTTTTTTGAGATGAAGTCTTGCTGTGTCACCCAGCCTGGAGTACAGTGGCTTGATCTCGGCTCACTGCCACCTCCGCCTCCTGGGTTCAAGCAATTCTCCTGTCTCAGCCTCCTAAGTAGCTGGGATTACAGGTGCCTGCCACCATGCCCGGCTAATTTTTGTATTTTTACTAGAGACGGGGTTTCGCCATGTTGGCCAGGCTAGTCTCAAACTCCTGACCTCAAGTATTCCACCCGCCTTGGCCTCCCAGAGTGCTGGGATTACAGGCATGAGCTACCACACCTATCCTGGAAATTACTATTTAAAGTTAGGAGTTATCTGTTGACTTATTTGTTGTCCCTGTTGTTTGACTTGTAGACTTTGGTACAGCCTGAAGTATAAAATTCCTATTGTTAACTACATAAAATCCTGTTATTAATAAACAAACTCAAAAGAATACCAGAACAAAAATTTCTTGATTATGAAGCCCTCTCTTTTTAAAAAGCATTCAGCAGAAACAAACAACATACTGTATGCCAGAATATCAGCACCACTTCCAGAAAATTACTCCAAGTTTCACAGCAGTTTACTGGGTTCCACGGTTTTGGGGAATAGAAAAGCAGGGCAGTAGCTGTCATACCTGTATTCAGTTTCTTTCTTCTATTGTATCTTCCTTTTTTTTTTTTTTTTTTTTTTTGAGATTGCCCAAGGTGGAATGCAGTGATACAATCTCTACCGCAACCTCTGCCTCCTTGGTTCAAGTGATTCTCCTGCCTCAGCCTCCTGAGTAGCTGGGACTACAGGTGTGCGTCACCATGCCTGACTAGTTTTTTCTTTTTTGTTTTTTGTTTTTTTATTAGAGACGGGGCTTCACCATATTGGCCAGGCTGGTCTCAAACTCCTGACCTCATGATCTGCCCACCTTGGCCTCCCAAAGTGCTGGGATTACAGGTGTGAGCCACTGGGCTCGGCCTATTGTATCCTCCTTTAATGAGTTTAAAGTGTCCCCTCAAAAGATGTTGAAGTTCTAACCCCCAGTACTTGTGCATGTGACTTGATTTGGAAAATAGGATCTTTGCCGATGATCAAGTTAAGATGAGGTCATTAGGATGGGCCCTAATCTAATATGATTGAGTCCTTACAAAAAGGGGAAATTTTGTCACAGAAACTGACCCTTAGAGAGAGAAGACAATGTGAATACACAGGGATAAGGCTATCTATTTAATACCAGCCAATGAACACTTGAGGCTCCCGGAAACTAAGAACCCTTTCAGATAATCAAAATGCCAGGTTTTCGTTTGTTTGTTTGTTTTAAGACAGAGTCTCACCCTGTCACCCAGGCTGGAGTGCAGTGGCACGATCTTGGCTCACGGCAACCTCCACCTCCCAGGTCCAAGCGATTCTCATGCCTCAGCCTCCTGAGTAGCCAGGATTACAGGCGTGTGCCACCACACTCAGGTAATTTTTTTTCTTGTGTTTTTAATAGAGATGGGGTTTTGCCATGTTGGCCAGGCTGTTCTCAAACTCCTGGCCTCAAGGGATCCATCTGCATCAACTTCCCAAAGTGCTGGGATTACGGGTGTGAACCACCATGCTTGACCAAAATGCCACTTTTCTGAATATATGTTTACTTTTTTGGTTTCCTGCATATATCCCAACATCCATATCTTTTACTTGCCCACCACGTTCCCATTTCTCTTTAAATCAGGTTTTGATTTTCTGAAAGTCTGAATGTTGAATTCACTGGTGTCCTGGAATACACTGCAAATAATTCCTACTTGCATTTCACTGACACTATGTTGCCTTTCCCTGGGTAAGTTTTACTTGCTTAAATTGTATATGTAAAGGTACCCTCAGCACTTTAGAGGACATATACAGTATGAATTCAAAATATAATTACTTTTAGGAGAGTACATAGAAGTACTCTGAACCATGGAGTACCATTAAATGGAAGTTTTTATTTTAATTACCAATTTTACATGATACATGCAGTTATGTATGTGCTCTGATTCCTATCTCCTCCCTTACTGTGAAAGGGCTGGTTAATTGAGGAGAATGTGAAGGTTATTTCACCACAAAACGCTCTAACGCTCTAACTCAGAGTATTAACAATATTTATTCTGATTATTAGTTTTTTCTTATGCATCCCTTTTCATTATCTGATTCACATCTCTCACATGTGATGTTAGTGTAAATGGTTGAATATTTTCAGAGTATAGTAAATATAACAACATAGCACCTTAATCTCACAATAAGGTTATTTTTTCTGTCTTAATTTTATCCTATTTTATCCTTATATATTTCAGAATATGGATCAGCATTGTTTTTTTCTTAATTAATTTATTTTGAGACAGAGTCTTGCTGCTCTGTTGACGAGGCTGGAGTGCAGTGGCATGATCACAGCTTACAACAGCCTCAACCTCCTGGACTCAAGTGATCCTCCCACCTCAGCCTCCCGAGTAGTTGGGACTACAGGCACGAGCCACCACGCCTGGCTAATTTTTACGTTTTTGGTAGAGATGGGGTCTACTATGTTGCCCAGTCTAGTCTCAAACTCCTGAGTTCAAGCAATCCTCTCACCTTGGCCTCCCAAGGTCCTGGGATTTCAGGCATGAGGGTTACTTTCAGCCAGCTGCTTCTAAACAATAGGCTTTGTTCTTACTGTGTTTTCTAATGTATTTTGTGCTATTTCCTACAGTTCTAAGACACAAAAGTAAAAAAAAATACATATTTTCATATAATATTTACATATATAATGTTTACATATATATTTGTATTTGATGTCTGGGTCCAGAGTTATACCTGAAGCTTTTATTAGGTTAACCATGATAATTGGTGTCCTACTGCTGTCAGATTTACTCTAACAAAGAAATAGATTACTGTTTATTATATTGAAGGAAGGGTGTATTTAACAATGGCTAGCTTTTGAAGTGAAAATCTCAGCAGATAGTGACCCAATTTATTATGGGGTTTAATATGTTTGATGGAGGGGACAGAAAACATTTTTAGCCAGTATCATGATTTCTAATTTTTGTTTGGGTCTTAGAGAAGAGGGAAGACTTCACCTTCCAGATCCCCTATGGACCAGTTCCAGATGTTGGAAACAGACATTTGGGAGATCTTTGGATTCCTGCATGGACTTGTGACCTCCTATCCTAAGTCCAGTAACAATTTTTTTTTTTTTTTTTTTTTTTTTTTAGCATTCTTGAATTGTACAGTGAGAAATGGAGTTGCTTTGGTCAAATGTTCCTCCTTTGTGCCACGGTGTACTCTGGGCATATCTCTAACTTTGCATTGGCTGTAAGGCTCTTCATTTTAGCTTTGTAGATGAGAGTGTGGTGCTTAGTTTCAAATTCTGTCTCTGCTACTTTCTAGCTGTGTGAGCCTGGGTGAATTACTTATCTTTCTGAGTTTTAGTTTTCTGATGTGTAAAATGAGAGTAATAATATGCCTAGTTCACGGTGTGGTTATAAGGATGAAATAAGTTATATGATGGCTCAGCATAATAGTATGTGGTAAGCACTAAGTCAATGACATCTATTACTATTACCTCTATACTTGTGGTGCTCATGAATTCGTGTCTTATTTGCAAAGAGCTTAGCTGTAGCCCTCTGAGACTGTTAAACGGAACTGATTGATCAGAGTTTGGTCACCTAGTGCCTCCATTATATAGAGCCAAGGAACCAGTTAGTTTTGGACATGTTGGTGGATCACTTAAATTCATGCCACTGGCCTTGAAGGACCTCGAACAAGAGCATTTTCTTGGTTCATTGCAAATATCACTAGTGTTAGAAAAACAACCTATGCACATGTGTGTTAGAGGCATCACCTCTGTGGAGGAAGCATCATTATAGTTACTTATTGACTTCTTGCTGTGCTATATTTTATATAATAATGCTTTAATAATGTTTTAGTCAAAATGAAAGTATCTTTAAAAGAGCTCAAACACACACTGAATTGCTAAAAAGTTATATGACAAAAGAGCGATGTAACGATGTTTTTATGAGTCAATCTTTATTGCATGTCGATAAAATTCTGCACTATTCTAGTTGAATAGGAAGAGACTAGTTCCTAAGAAGCCCATTACCCTAAGCTAGGTGTTAATAATCTCTTTGTGTTAATATTACAATATGCTGCATGATGCCAGGCTTGGAATACAAAAGTTCAGGGTTATATAAGTGTTCTGGCATGCACAACTGTTTGAGCAAGACACTTGGAATTCCAGCTTGTCCAGCAGTTTAACTAGGCTGTGAAAACAATAGGGAAGAGAATGTAGCAAAATGCCCCTATTTCAACTATTCTTAATATAGCTGTCTTTTGATGACTTTCTCACAAATTGTTCAGTCCTGAGAGTCCCATATCTTTTTCCTATGAATAGTTTATCATTTTTACACAAGGAAACTTGCTAAGTGCCTTAAGAGGTGGTGACAGTCATTATTTTTTAGTTTATGTGAAGAAAACTACCCTTTTTTCTCATTAGTTTTTATATAAAAATTAGTCCTTAAGCCAGTATATATAGTGTATAGGTACTTTTGGTACACTAAGTAGTCATTAAAATGCAAGAAAAGGCATTTAGCTTTTAAGAACAAATGTCTCACATTCTGAACATAGAGCAGAACTTCTTAATCACTGCAAACTTTCTACTGATCTGGTAGATATACAAGGCTTCTGTTCTGAAGAGAAAAATAGCTAGTGGTTCATTGAGAATTGACTGGGTCAGAGTCTGACCTAAGCATGCATGTGTATTAACTCACTAAATATGTGTATTAACTTACCACTTTGAGATGAGTAATTTTATCTTTTCCATTTTACAAATTAGGAAACCAAGGCCCACAGAGATCAGATAACGTGCTTTAGTAAGTGGTTGAACAGGGATTCAAATATAGGCTAATTGGACCAGGCATGTGGCTCATGCCTGTAATTCCAGCACTTTGGGAGGCCAAGGCAGGTGGATCACCTGAGGT